AAAATAACCAGGCGCAAAAGGTGAACTGCAGATTTACCAGAACTCTAATGCAAACCCCTTTAACATGAATGCTCAAGAGCAATAGGAAGATTTGATACGGGCGCTCCACAGCTTGGGAGCGCGGTACTCACAAGAATCGGTAAAACCACAGCTCAAATATTAAAACGCGGCCAGGACATGGTCACTTTCCTCTTGCTGAGAAATCAGAACTTTGAAAGTGCCGATTTCATTGTTTTTCATTCTTCCATGAGCGTTGCTATAGCTTTCACGTCTCGTAAACCACTTCAAGAGCCATGATGAGCCGACGGTTAGGTACGGATCAAAGGCAAAGTCCGAGTCAATGAAGAGTGTTGTACAAGCGAGACCATGTACCCATTTGGCTCCACGACTTGACAATGTTGAGGCTCAGGAATGCTCTATGAACTCCACCCACCAACACGGTCTCCGCCCCCAAATCAGTGCTACTTCGCATAGCGCTTCTGAAGGGGGGGGGTATGGTCGGCTTTGTCGACTGCTTGTTCCCATTTCCGTTACTGTTAATGCACTGCACATCACACCTTTTTTGTTACTTTTGAGAGAAATCCTACAAGTCGGTCTCGGACCCTGCCTTTAAATCCGTCGCAGACCAGTGATTAAAAAAATCGTAATCAGTGTTGTATGAGGTAAATAGCATATTTTTATAATTTCAACCATTGAAAAAACATCTAATTTTGGGGGTAGTCACCTCGGCTTCCATTGCGTAGTCATCACTAATTCGAGGAGAATGTTTGAAGAGCGGGCATTTTGAAACAATTGCTTCGTGGCTAGATTCAGCAGCTCTCATAAAAAGTTCGTTCCACGATCTGCAGATCCGTACTTTCTATCATTTTTCATTCCAATTTCATCGAAATTTCACCTTCCAATGATTTGCTCAATAACACCCATCATTCATTCTTAGGTCTCTGTTTTCAACATACGGGTAACCTTGAACGTCACAGGGTTTTTTTTTGCTCTAGGGCGAGTCCTTCGAATGAAACCGACATTGTAAAGTATCGGAAATGGTCTTGACTAGCTTTTTCCGTCGGACACACTACACCTTGTTTCTATTTAATCACACGAACAGCCGCAATTTCCAATTTATTCAGGGAATTTTTTACACAGTAGTAAAAATAGAGTATTCATAGTGTAACTCCCAGACCCCCCCCCCCCCCAGGAAGGAGGGCACTTAGGGTATTTTTATTCGCGATTTCCTGAGAAAAACGGGGCAAACGAAGTCGAAATAGCAGGAAGTGGCAAAATCAGAAGAAAAAAGTTTATTTTGTTCATTGTCTCAAAACTAATCTCCATTAAGATTGTGCCCGTGGCGGTTGAGATTGGCAAGTAATCGTCACTTTAAATACGCAGCATGGAGCAGAGAGGATCCCAAAGCCGACAAAGTATACCGTAAATCAGGAAGTCCTATAAGAACGTTTTTGTGTGCTCACATAGATTACCTGAAAGACTCATCCCTCGTTTACTTTATGTGGTACAATACCGTTCACTCATGAGGAGAAGCAGATCTTAAACAGTAGGGTCGTGCCCTTCATCACAACTCCGAAGTGGGTGACAGCTATTCACTCGCAGGCCCGCTGCTTCCCTAACACGCGCCTTGAAGGCGCATTCTAATATAAAGTTTTTGGAGCGAAATTATGAGTGAAGTGGTCACGGCCTCGCACTTGCAGGAGGGGAGTCTCTGCTATGGCAGCTCAAATGTGGGGATAAGTAGCGCCAAGAACTTCATCGGATAGGTTGCGTGTGGTTGTGGAAGGGTAATCCGATCCAGAGGCCGCGTTAGCGCGAGGCTTAAGCAAGTTGAGGACGAGTCTTACGGGGCGCAGCGCGTGCTGATGTTGTGCTTACAATGATTAATTCTATTCTCTAATCTCAAGCCTTCCATGTCTTATGAAATCAGGTTCTCCGCTTCGAGTATCTTGCCGCTAAGCTGCGCGTCGGTCGGCAATGGCTAGTTCATCTATTGAAACGAGAAGCTCTAAGATTTTGGCATTCCTTGTGCTCCATATGTTCCGGCACCATCGCAGTCGTGGAAATTTATCAAAGTTCCAGTGGCTACATTCCCATTGAATTAGGCTGGCAGACATGTATGTATGTGTACAAATGTTAGTGTTCGCGCCTTTAAGCTTTTTCATCCTTCTGATGAACTTCATCTTTTAACAAGCAGATTTAATTAGGAACTTCTATTCGATCGATAATTTAGGTGGCAAATGCGGAGATGTTGCGTGGAACATTCCAAACGGTCAAGCTCTTCGCTTTGGGTGTGCTTCTGATGATTATTTTCATGGCGATTGCTTTTCATCACATCCCCTGGAAATCTCAAGTAAGCCTTTTTTAGCTGAACTTAGTGACTGCACAAAAAACAAAAGCAGCAACATGCATATTGTGTTGTAACAGAAGATAAAAGAAATCCAAAGAAATTTAGAGTAGAATAGAATGAAAAAAGAAATAATAAAATGTTCAATTAAATGAGTTTCCATTTAGCCGATTCTGATCATTGGTGCTGTCGGATCTCCAGCCATTGCCACAGCTACCACCTTTGCAATTCTTGGATGGCTCGATTTCCCCTTCAATTCTATCATGTGCATCACTCCATTTCTAGTCATGGGAATCGGTGAGAATTTTGAATGTGCGAATAGCAAATTTTTAGCATAGAAACAATAAATTTAAAGGCGCATCTGACAACAAGGTTAGTGTGGTTTTGAGCCTTAAACTAATTTCATAGGCGCGATTTGGGTGTAAGGAAAAAATCCGTTAAAAGGAAATCATGGGCCTCTGTTTTCCGGTCTGTGAAAAGTCGAAGAAGCGGCAGACAGAGAAATGTATGTCCTGGGCAACGTGGAGGGAGAAAAGTCTCGTAGATGAAGGAGCAAAATACATGACGAAGCAGCAGATACCGTAACGGCGGTTGCGTGCGAGGTCTATGTTGCATCCTCGGCCCTAGTGATCCCTAACTCTGCTAAGCGTATTGAGTCGCGAAATTGTCACCACCTATGCAGTTAAAACCTAGCAGTATTACTAGTGAAGAGTTTTTACAAATAACGTAATTTCATCAAACCAAATCATGGTCTCGGCCTTGAAGCATCGCTCTATTGCATTGGGTAAATCTTGAAGCCTCGCTACGGTAACGACGAGACATGATAGAAGATCGACTTACCGTTAGACCTCTCGTAGCTCAAGAACAGAAAAGTGGAGCAGAAATTGGAAAGAAACCTGCTTGTATTCTGAGGAAAAAAAATGTGGAGGAACCTCTTACCTGAATGGATGGAATTCATTATGGAAAACTTTTGTCATATTGACTTCATTTGACTAGAAAAATTAGTTTAGTCTCAATCAAAGCAGCACAGGCAAACGTCTCTTCTGACCTCAGAAATCGGAAAAGCCAATTAGTTAATTAGCCAGTTACTTTCCGGTAGCTTCATAATCTAAATATTAAACTTGGGCTACTCCACTGAAAATGAATTCGCAGAAGAACATGAATTGCCAAGTAGTCACAAACCGGATGAACGATCGGATTTCAGGTCGTCGACGATGCTTCTTCGGTCAGTGCATTCATGGCGCACTCATAGCAGTCTACCTGCAAAGGAACGAATGCGCATGGTAGTGCATGAGATTGGACCTTCGATGGCAATCACTTCAGTCACGAATACTCTCGCTTTTGGCATCGGAATCACATCACCTACCCCGCAGGCACGCCAGTCTGCAACTATCCCATGCGTTCTATTTAAGGGGGGGCTAAAAAAGTCCAAAAAAAGAAGAAAAAGGAATGTGCATTTATGGATTGTAAAAGTTATGAGAGTATAAAGAAATATATATTCTTCATCCCCTCAAGTACTTTTACACAATGCGTAGCCTGTGGCCTGAATTTTAAAGAACCTTACACAATGCTCATACCATATTTTTTCTATAACAAAATGGATGACGGACTCGGATAAATAATTCGCCGTCTGGTATGCGCCATGCATTCACCTCCACTGACTATCGCAGACATAAGAAAGCGATTTTGCCATACAAGACTTCCGGGCCAGCTAAAAAGACAACTCGAGAGTTTCTCGTCTCCCACATAAGTTTGGTCTCAGCTGCAGACTATAAAGAAGTAAAAACTCTAAGGTGTTCGCGAGCGGAATAAGATCCAGGATTTGGATCCATGGGTTTGGGCCGGTGGCGGCGCCACTGGAGACTGCCACCGTTCCACCCCTGCGAACTAGCGTGCCCCCCCGTTATTACCCTTTCCCTTGACCGCAGGATTGCATTAACTATTACAGTGCTCTCGTTTGAGGCATGAAATGTGGTTTAGATGAGCGCGCTTCTGCCTTCTGCACCTGCTGGCCATTTCCTATTTCCTCTCTCGAAGTTCCTCATTTCTTTGGACGGCTTTATTGTTCTATCTACGGCGAAAAAGAGAGAACCGAAACAGGTGAAACAGGTATGCACATCGGCTGCTTTCTATTAATCTCGGGACTATTTCAAAATTATTTATTTTCAGCACCATCACGTGGGAAAGTTACACGAACATGTTGCTTTCCCCGTTTGGGAAATTTATTGTCGTGGTCACCACTTTGGCCATCTATGTGAGCGCGTTTATTGGAGTCAGCGGTATGAAGCCATCTTTTGATCCTTCAAAAACCTTCCCAAGTGATTCTGATCTTATGCTTTCACTGAGGAAATTTGAAAAAGTGCAAAGTGAGGTTGGTTTTAGTGGAATTTCGGGTAGGGTTTGGCCTACACAACCCCTAGAAAATCCCATTTTACAGTATGCTCCGATTAATTTCATCAGTTTACTGCCGCCGTTGACGGATTATTCTGAGAAGGCTAATTTCTTCGAGATGATCGGCCGAGTGGAGCACAGCGATGGCTGCTATGGCCCCGAGCGAACACAGATCATGCTTCGACAGTTCATTGAGGTAATACTGCTGCAGTAATTGTATAAGATTCAGATTTGGGAATGCATGCGTTCAAGAGCTTCATTTCAGTGGGGAGAATCTCAAAATATTACCAACCTCTCCTACCAATATCTGCCCAAGTTCCTTTCTGGTCGGCAAATCAAAGATGAAGCAATTGTTCAGTACAAAACGAGAAAGTATGTTCTTCATGACTTCTTCAGTTGATATTTATGATCTTTTTTTCGTCTATTAATCAAGTCGTTTCAGTGACATTGATGATAGTGGGCTGAACTACACTTAATATATGTCGAGTACGCTTACAATTACTTTTTATCGAATATTGCTATATGAAATGGAAAAAAAATATGCCCGCTTAAAGGATATTCTTTTCCCAACAGATCATGAGCACTTGACCAGCCAATCAAATCACTGCATCGAAAAACCAATCCTCCACTCCATAAGGAACGCAAAGAACATAAAAATTGAAGTGTTTGGTAAAGTTGAGAAACTAAGGAGAAACGCCCACAGCGGTTTCAAGTCCCTCGTCCATCTGTCCCAAATGCTATCTCGGAACTCTGCACTTGGTCACGAGGATTCTGTCATCGTTTTGTCCTCTATGTTCGCCCGAACGCGTTAATCCAGATTTTTTCATATCGAAATTAGTAACCCTCCCCTTCAAAAAGCCAGAAAGTGTCGGTGCAGACCATAACACCACAAGTGACGACCTCCAAGTAAATCTGGTTAGTAGTGGTTCATAGTGATAGCTGATTTTTGGTAAATGATAGTTGTAATTAGTGACAACTGATAGAATACAACTGCAACAGGCTAATCATTTCATTGGCAAAAACATTTACATTTTGTGGAGGCCGTCGTCACTTGTGGTGTATGGTCTGCACCCGACACTTTCTGGTTTGAAGGAGAGGGTACTTGGCTCGATAGGCGAAGTTTTATCGAGAATCGGAATTTGGCGCGAACTTTGAAAGGTAATCATTTATGTATACAATCACGGCCCTGTCGCAAGATACGGGACATTGTAGTGGTAATGCAGAATCCGCATTCAAAGTAACCTGCTTTTGGTTAAAAGTGGCACTAAGCATTAGGAGAAGAGTTACTTTCTTTGAAGTTGTTGCCCCCCCCGGGCCCAAGATACCCCCGAATCTTGCGATAGACCCAATCACGTCGTACTCGGGCATGACAAGCGCTTTGGTATTTCGAAAAAGAAGCTTTCGCTCGGAGCCAACACTATTAGGCACCCAACATGATGAATCAGAGCACACAGACAATGGCAATGTCGCAGATTCGCTTTTCTGTCGTAGAAGTGTGGGTGAGTTCGCGCCCGTCTCCACTGGTTAAGGTTCCTGTCGATAGCCGAAACGGTTTCGAGCACTTTGAGGTAATCTCGAAACACGTGCCGCGTTAAAAAGTGCGTTGGTTCATCCAAAAGTCATGACCCAGATGCACCGGCAGTTTTTCGTGCAGATCTCTATGGAATGGCGATTTTCATTTATCCATGACCGCTCTGTTTTTCGATTGATGTTAGAGCGAAGTCTCCATTTTCGCTGGAACTTTTTACAGGGGTAAGTGGATGTCCTGGTCACGATTATGAGATTATGTATGGGGCAAAAGCCATCTGGCGCCGAGGCGCTTTCATGAGTTGCTTCCTGTAAAGCGAGAGCTCTACCATCGTTTCACGTCAGCTGTGATGCCGCACAAGTTGACAAGCACCGAAACTTCTTTTTTGCCAAATTCGAAGGCCTATAGTCTTCTTAGACGCAGCAGTTTCAGTACTCATGTTTGTAACGAGCGCTCAGAACCTATCGATATAACTTAAATTTCAGTTTCATGAGAGGTAAAGCATCCCCTGGGTAGGAAAAGGGAGAACTCAAAGCCACTGTCGAACGAAAAGCTCATGAATTGAATATTAAAGCAAGAAACTTTTGTAATGAAACCAAATCGGAATGCTTGAAAATAAAGCCGGATATAATATTTGGGAAATCTCTGCGCCCCTGTGAAAGTCCTGATCTTTTTCTGTCTTCCAACGAAACGTTGGGGACTGGTTCACTAAAGGCTGCTTGAGAGTTCGAAAATTAACAGTTCCGTATAGAATTGGTCATTTGTAATGGGAAGTATACTGCCAGAAAGTGTGTGCGATGGGGATGGCGTAACGGTTGGAGTGGCGGGTTTTTGGACCGGTGTCCAGGACCCGCATCCGCGTTTCTTCGCTTTTTTGGAATTCCTCTATAGTAGGCATCTTTTATGAATCCTTCACACTTTAAAGGCGCATTCGGCTATCAAATCTGTAGGTGTGGCTACAGTGCTCTATGCTAAAAGCAGAAGTGTGGAGTATAATCTCCAAAGAAATAAAAAATGTGTAGAGCCGATTAGCCGACATCGGCAGGAACCACGAGGGTAGAAGCCCTAGCATATATTAATTCTGACTTTTTCGAATTGCTCGGTAATATTATATAATTGGCAGCGCTATTGTCAGGTGCGTGTCCGATTTCCGTTGGGGGAAAAGGGGGTGGGAGGAGTTTTACTCGTAACCCAGCATTCTTGCGATAAGTTTAAGGTTGGTCGGCCCAACCTTGAAATGAAGGAAAGGTTCGATGCGATCAAGACCAGGGTGAACGAGAACCTGCTCGATGGTCGCAATTGAATTGAAAAGAAGCTGTCAATGAGTGTCGGACGTTGGCCGACCACTCCAAATCAGACCTTTGTTTGTGCTCGATGTTTTGATTGCAGAAATTAGTTTTGTAGTCGTATAATTGAGAACTCGAGAACCTTTCCTGCTAGGTAGTACACTCAAGCTCGTTCGTCACTTCATAACGAAGAGACTTGACGGAGCTGGCCGTTTGTGTAGCTCATTCTAAGGTACTACCCTGATCAGGGTCAGCCACAGTTGGATAAATTTTAGGATCAGAACGTCCACCTCTGTGGAGGGTCTCACTGATCCCAAATCTGTGTGCTGTACGTGTGAATAACGGCTGAGACAACAAAAATTGCGAAATTTTCGAAACTTGCTAAGTTTCAAAGAAATTCCCTCCAAGAGCACAATGCTTAGGTCTCAAAATACCTTTTCTTCCAAAAATAGCAAACAAGACTACGCTCATTAAGCTCTGCTCATTAGACAGTGGTCGTGCGCTCTGTTCGAAAGAATTCTGCTGCGAACCTCCATCGAAAAGCACTTTTGTGCTGTGGGCAACATTTGGCACACCCCATCAGAAACCAAGATGGAGGTGGTCAGTGGTGCTCTTCGAACTTACAGAGTTTCGAAATTTATCGCAATTTTGTTGTCTCGCCGTTTTTGCACTGACTAATATGTGCAACGAGATTGGATCAGTGAGCTCTCCAACAGGTGAACGTTCTATCCTGAAATTTATCCATTGCTATGCTGACCTGATTCAATGGTAGAAACGGGAGATAGCTCGTTAAACGGACACTCGCCAAAGTCCTTATTAGAAAGTGACGGGATACGAAGCTTGGACTACTAACCTACAAGACGGTTCACTATTAATATTTCTACATTTTACATTACAAACGTAAATTATACAATCTAAAACAAGGGCGGAAGTGGTGTAGTGACAAGTGGCGCGCTTACCACGCGAGCGGTCCGGGGATCAAATCCTGGGTCGTGAGTCGCCCGGGCCAACCAAGCCTTCCATCCCTCCGGGGTCGGTTAATTGGTACCAGACTTGTCTGGGAGGATAAAAACACTGACTTGTACATCGGCTGGCCCCCGCAAGTCATTGTATAGGCCACATCGCATTCAAACGCCACTGCGAATGTACAAATGGAAGTAGAATGCGTGCCGCATCCCAAAAAGGGATTGATCAACGGCAAATGCTTTATCCTTTATCCTTTTAAATCGAGAAAAAAAGTTGATTTGGAATTGTTCGC